TTCCCCTTTAAAAAGGGCAATCATATACAGTAGATGCCCGGCTCCCCCCCCCCCCCCACTTAGTGTTATTTAGGGTACGCGTATGCTCGTTCCCTACCGTTGAAAGCACGCCCCCCACCCTATCTCAGGACTGCCAACATTTCTGAATCCCCCTTTCGCCGGCTTTTCGCTGGCTTTTCCTGCCTTGGAGACCCCCCCCCCCAAATCCGGAACACTACTAAATGGACCACCCCCCCCCCCCCAATTTCAGGTGAGCTCTAGTCGATCGAGGGGGACTGGGGGCCAATGCTTTTACTTTTCAAAATGAAATAATCCTGAATGAGCTTTCAAAGCTAGCAGGAATTTAAGGAATTTGATCCCGGGATGTGATCAATTTTTCTATGATATTCCAGATATTTTATAACCTCCTTTTTACATTTCTCAGGAGTACAAAGAGAGAGAGAAAAAACCCACCCCCTTTTTAAAGAAATCGAGAATGGTTCAACCAATCGTCTTCTTTCTCTAATGATTTAATGAAACGTAATAGCTTCCGCGCTTCGCGCAAGAGGGAGAGGGGGGAGGGAAAAACTGAATTCAGATGAGGATTAAAAGTCGAGAACGGAACAACGAATCGTCTTCTTTCTCTAATGATTTAATGAAACGTAAAAGCTTCCGCGCTACGCGCGGGAGGGAGGGGGGGGGGGGACTGAATTCAGACGAGGATTATTTTCGAGAACGGTACAACGAATCGTCTTCTTTCTCTAATGATTTTATGAAACGTAAAAGCTTCCGCGCTTCGCGAGGGAGGGGGATGGGGGAACTGAATTTTCGAGAACGGTACAACGAATCGTCTTCTTTCTCTAATGATTTAATGAAATGTAATAGTTTCCGCGCATCGCGCGGGAGGGGGAGGGGGGGGGGGGGGGGGGGAAGGGAAAAACTGAATTCAGATGAGGATTAAAAGTCGAGAACGGTACAACGAATGGTCTTCTTTCTCTAATGATTTAATGAAACGTAAAAGCTTCCGCGCTTCGCGTGGGAGGGGGGATGGGGGAACTGAATTCAGACGAGGATTATTTTCGAGAACGGTACAACGAATCGTCTTCTTTCTCTAATAGTGTTTATTGTTTGTTCGTTTGTGTGTGTGCGTGTGCGTGTGTGTGTGGTTGTTTGTGTGCATGTGCGTGTGTGCATGTGTATGTTGTGTGTTTGTGCGTGCGCGATCTCGCGCGCTTGCGTAAATTAGTGTGGGCGTGTGCTCGTGCTGGTATGTGATGGCTATCGCCGATCATCCCCCCCCCCCCACTCCTCGGTACGGATTTACGCCCCTGGCTGCTATTATCTCCCAGGAAAGTACCCTATATAGTACATGTACATACTTTAACCGTGTGCGTAGGCCATTTAAGGGTTTTTAGAGGGTAGATTTTCCGAATACGAACTTGTTTATAATGCTTAAAATTTGTTTTTAATGTAATGGTAGTTGACATATTATAGCACAGGAAACCATTTATCCAGGCGCGTATCAAGGATTTTCCAATAGGAGGGGGGGGGGGGGGGGGGGGCGGAAATTTGAAAATCGCACAGACCGTTATTTAATTAATTCAAGATCCCAATACCGACAAGGTCATATTAGAAGCACCGTACCGGTAACTACCAGCGGGCACAGGCTTTGGAAAGGGGGCAGGCTCACGCCACGTCACCGTCACTTTAAAGGTACCGGAAATACAAAGTTTTGGGAAATTTTGAAAATTGGGTGGATAGTGATTCTTTACAATTTTAATATGTTTGGATGCCCCTGTGGATGTAGAATAAGCACTAGAAAATTTAGCCCCTAAAACTTTAACAATTTACCGATGCTCCCGGTAAATTTTGATAAATTTCAAATTGCGCCTACGGCTGTACAATGGTAGCTGCGACCATGAAAATTTCAGAATATGTAGTTGTATATATGTAGTTGTATATGTATATGTAATTTCCAAACGGGAATAGCTAATTGGTCGATTTTAGACAAGAAACATTGTTTTAAAGCTTAATTAATATCTTGACCTTGAGAGGGAGCTATACAACATTAAGAGTTTATTATTTACAATTTCATAACTTTAGACTTAGATTTTAACCACGACAACGAGCACTGAATATTGTAGAATCGCATATATGCTTCCAATATGTTCATTTGAACCAAATTCATGATCCAATACCAAAACTTTGTATTACCTTTAACTTTGAAATTTGTTATCCAATGAATACAAAAGATATATCATGAGTGCTTTTACATGAACCCTTTTTAAATAAATAATATTATGCTGGATTCTGATCCAGATTGCACAACCTAAAATGATAAGATGGTCATCCCCAATACGCTTGCAGTTCTCAATTATGTGCACCCCTTCCTCCTTATTCCCTCATCTATCGTTACCGTCACTGCCATTGGCGTATATGGCCGGCCCCCTCTTCAATAAAGGCTCCCAAGACTTCTGGAATAACCCAAAATGTTCTGATCACCATACTGCCGCACTTTGGAGGGGCCGGGCGCGGCCTTTTCAGAAGTATTTTTTACTAACCTTTTTAGGCACTACGGCTTAAAATATTACAAGCATGCTTATAATTTTTTGAAAATAATCTGAATTCCGACTCAGTTTTGCACAACCTAAAAATTAGCCCCCCCCCCCCCCTCCATGCGCGCGCATTTCACACGCACATACCCCCCCCCCCCTCCCCCCCCCCCCCCAAGTTTTCCCCGTTTTCGTCGTTACTGTCACTAAGTGTCATTTCCTTGTCTTTCTTCCTTTCTCATCCGGCTTCTAGCTCTCTTCTTTCTCTTTTCTCTTTCTCTGTCTCTCTTTCTTTTCTTTTCTCTTCTCTTCTCATTTTTTTTCTTCTTCTTTTCCTCCTTTTTTTCCTTCCTCTTTTTTTGGCGCCGCCAATAGGGGGGGGGGGGGCCGCGGCTGTTTCGGCCCCCCTTGGATCCGCCACTGAGTTGAAAAGCGATCTTCTTCTTCTCCTTCCTCTCCTTCTCCCTCTTCCTCTTCCTCCTCCTCCCCTTCCCCTCCTCCTCCTCTTCCTCCTCTTCCTCTCTCCTCCTTCCTCCTCCTCCCCTTCCCCCTCCTCCTCTTTCTCCTCCTCCCCTTCCTCCTCCTCCTCCTCTTCCTCCTCCTCCCCTTCCCCCCTCCTCCTCCTCCTCCTCCTCCTCCTTCTTCTTCTTCTTCGGTTTTTCTCCTTCTTTCTTTTACTTCATCTTCTCTTTCTCTGTCTCTCATGGGCATGTGGTATACTAGATGTAACCTTCCAGTCTCTGAAGATTATTTACAAAACAAATCATGACAGTTTCCAACAATAAATTTGATCCAAAATGGGATAAATTGACCTGCAATCGCGAGTGCAGTTGCACTAGAGTGCCTTCATAGAGGCAGTTATCTTAGCATGAATACAGATGCCATAACCCTACTAGGCCAATAGGTGGCAGCAAACACATTAGCACCCAGTCAGTTGCATCCCGAGGTCCATTGCAACACTAAAAATTTGTCAATTTTGACTGTTTTTAAAAATAATTTTGGATCAAAATTATTCAAAATTATTCACTTCCGGTCTGATTATTGGCTTACCTGATATTTTCTTTGCCCTAAAATACAATCAAATACTACATATATCATGAAAACAGCAATTGAATGTTGAAGAGCATATATCAAGTTATCACTTAAGCACTGAAGGAGATACTCTCTGCGACTGCTGAGAGACTCAGACGATGGACCACATCTTGCAGTGTGGCGGAACGGGTTGCACAGATGACGACCTGGCCCTTGTTAATGAAACGACCTGGCCCTTGCAATAGAATCTCAGATAAAAGAAAATTTCGTAATAGAAATACTGATAAAAATAACACATCTTCATTATAGAGGTATAAACATAACGCTAGAATGGATCCCATCTCACTGTGGACTAGTAGGGAATGAAGTAGTAGATAGTTTTGCTAAGAGAGCATTAAAAAAAAACATAGAAATTAACAATGATCTTAATGTAAAAGAACTGAAATCAATACTGAATAAAAGAGTACGAGAAATTGGGGAAGAAAGCTGGAAAACGATAGAATCACCTTTAAAACGATTTGAGAATCATTCATGTATATCAATCAAGGTAAACAGATACAGTGAAGTAATATTACATAGATTGAGAATGGGTGTTCTTCAACTGAACCAACAAAAGGCTAAAGTGGGTTTAAGTGAAACAGAATATTGTGATTATTGTAACATCAGTGAAACAGAAGAACATTTTATATTTTATTGTAATAAGTATATCATTGAACGAGCAATGCTTTTCTCAGATTTAGACACCAAAACAATAGAAGAAACAAAAAGAATACTTTTCAAGTTTTCACAGAAGGCTCGATATGCCATCCTACTATATATCCATAGAACAGGTCGCTTCAAATAAAACAAGAGACCAAATAAGTTTACCTACAAGTAAAGTAAAATAAGCCAAAAGTACTTCTTTCCCCTATCGCTTCTTTAGGAGATTCTCATAAAGAGAATAAAAGGAGGAATAAATAAAGAAATATAATGAATGTAGGTATGTAATATATAGGCCTATATAGGCCCTATATAATATTAAATAAAGACGTTCATTTTTCAATTGTTCTATTTTTATGCATTGATACTAACAAAAAGCCTACTTAAATGTTTGCTTACAAATAGTGATAATGTGATAAGATTTGTATATCAATTTACTTGAATGGATTGGAAATTCGGTTTCAGGAGCGCCCCTGTACGATGTGTCTCAATTTATAGTGTTTCTGTGTTTCTGAGTGGTCTAGGCACCGTGCGTTATAAAATTAAAAGATCACTGCGCACGCACGCCGAGTAGCCGAGAAGCCTGTTTCAAATCGGGCAAAGCTAGTTTTCCATGCCATCGAAACCGGGCTGACCAGATTAAACTGAAAAAAAAGCAGAAACACGAAGTTGCAAACCATCCAGAGACTCCTAAAAAATTGCGTTACTTTTTAATTAACTTTATATCATTACAAATCTTTATCCTCAGTTTTCTTATTTATAACTGATTTTCCTTATAAAATTAAAGATAATTATGGCGTATATATTCAATATTGAATGAACGCCAATAAACAATTACCCAACAACAACAACAACACAAATAGAAGTATGGGTTAGGACGTCGCTCTGCCGCCCTCTCTGTTTCTCATCTCGTCTTAACTCACAAATAGAAGTATGGGTTAGGACGTCGCTCTGCCGCCCTCTCTGTTTCTCATCTCGTCTTAACTCACAAATAGAAGTATGGGTCAGGACGTCGCTCTGCTGCCCTCTCTGTTTCTCATCTCGTCTTAACTCACAAATAGAAGTATGGATTAGGACGTCGCTCTGCCGCCCTCTCTGTTTCTCGCAGGTCTGGTGCTGAGTTGGGCTAAATATTGAAGAGAATATAGTAATGTGATGATTTTTCATCATTACAATGTTAACTTTAATGAAAAGTCAATCCTCATAATAGATGATTTGATCGTCATCATATTGTATTACGTGATTGTAATATATAATACTATATGATGGATCATTACATTATGCCAGGCTCAATTATGAACAAGGGATTCATCTCTTCCCTTCCCATCAGATATAGGAATCGTTCTTTAAAAGAAGCAACAGAAAAAGTGCGCCTAGAAAACAGTAATAGCTTCATCTAAGTGCCCCGGGCCCCTACTCAGTGTTATGTAGGGTACGCGTATGTTCTTTCCCTCCTTTTGAATGCTCCCCCTATCTCAGGACTGCCAACATTTCTGAATCTGAATCCGGAACACTGCTCAATGTACCCCCCCTCCCCCTCTATCTATGATATTCAAGATATTTTTGTTATAACCCCCTTTTTAAATAGTCCAAAGAGAGAGAGAGAGAGAGAGAAAATACATCCCCTTTTAAATATTTTATAACCCCTTTATTTAATTTCTCACGAGTCCAAAGAGAGAAAAAAACGCCTCTTTTAAATAAAATCTCCAGGTGAAAAGTTAAATACACCCTCTTTTTTTACAATTCTCGGACCGTACTCTGTCGCGCAAAAAGTAGCCCTTTAACGGAGATTTTGGGAACACGAATGCGGCCCCTCCGACCCCGGAGGTAGCGATAGCCTGTAAATAAAAAATAAAAAATTCCCCCGATTGACAGTTATATTTTACCGAGATCAAAATGTAATTGCATGAGGGGAATTCTGAATTTCGAGATGAATTTACTATGTTATATTGAAGGAAAACGCACTCGGTGAGTCTACATGTATGTGCAATCTTCTGCCTCTGATCTTGTTCTCTAAATGCGTTTCAACAAAGAGGATACTAGCTGGTATCTCTTTGGTTTCAAGTAGTACGTATATGTGCGCCTTTTAGAAAATGCAGACATTGACGAATGATAGTGGTGCGAAGTCTAATTCACTTTTGCACTCGATTTACCGCGAGAAAAAAGACGTTATATATTACACCATCGTGCCCATATAATAAAGTGTTGAGTGTCACGTCATAGCTTTTCATACAATAGTATAGGTTCCCAGACAGAAGATATAATATATTCATACATTTTCATAATAAAATGCAATTTTAGTACACTCCCTGTATCAGATCGAATGGGAGAGTCGCCGTAATATATTATCGTCGGACAGTCTGAAATTACAATACTGTAGTAGAATGATAACTACTGTCAAAAATTCAGAACTTTCGTATTGTTTGCCCGATTTTGTTAAAACTTTCACCAATCAGCTCTTCTGATTTGTGTTCATGTCTTCATTGCAAACTTGCTATTAAGAGATTTCTCTCATTGAAATCTTCACGTTTGTTAGGTTTGAGTTACCTGTATTGGATATTTCTTGACCCTGTGATCTCTCTCATTTGGTTCAGGTTGATGCGTGGTGGTGTGCCTGCTCTTAGATTGTCCATAGCCTGGTTGATGGGTTTGGCCTGGTTGATGGGTGTGGCCTGGTTGATAGACGTGGCCTGGTTGGTGGGCATCGTCATGTTGATTATGATGGGCGTGGTATTGAAGCGCACCTCGATGGTTATCTTCAATAGGCTCCATGTGATGATGGAATCGTGGTCTTTCGATGGTTTTCACAACTTGTATGGACTGCACGGGAGGCGTATTACCATACATTACCTCACCTATTGCGTTGCCATGGTGATATTGAGGTGCTGTTTCATCTTCAACGATGGGGTATGATTTTCCTGTTTCATCCCTCTCATCGAATCCCTTCCCATGATGCACTTCAGCTGCAATAGCTGGTCTCGCCCGGATTATGATACCTATACAGTCTATACACAAACTGATGAATGCCATGGGAATGATGATAATGCATGATGAGATAATGGTGGAGTAGATTGGTATCAATGACAGCTGAAGGTCAGATACCCTATCATCATCACCATTCGTAGTGTTCTGCTGTGACGTCACACTGAACTCAGTGACCGGGTGCTTGGGAATGATGGCGATACCCTGTGCTGACATCGACCATGAGGTCAAAGCAATACACAGAGATGATACTATCATGGTTAGAAAGTTGGTTAGAGGTAGAACCAGTGAAATACCGCGCTGTGATATAGGAAGAACAAAAGTGGGTGTACTTCATTAACGATATTTATTGATTTATATCATTGCCAGGGCCAGTAGCGTACGCAGGATTTTTTCAAAGGGGGGGTTAACACTTTTAAATCAGGCCGACATTTTCGCCACGACTCAGCCAGCCGCTGAGTAAGCGGGGGGTAAGATCGACATTTTGTTCCGTTGGGGGGGGGGGTAAGGTCATCTTTTTTTTGGTCACCATTAGCATAATTTATTTTTTTTTTATTTTATTTTTTTAAATAAAATAAAAAAGCAAAGGGGGGGGGGGTTACTTCAAAATACACACATAAAAAAGGGGGGAGTTAACCTCCACCCCCCCTCCCTGCGTACGCGCCTGGCCAGGGCATTATATAAAGTATAGTACAGAAAGACTACAGATCTGACAACTAAATAGAAAAGAAGAAAATATCTGCCAATGTTAGTGGAAAACCTTAATAAATGTACTTTCGGTAGGAAATTTACATAATTATTATTAGATTTTAGAAAATTCAGAGACATGATTTAGGTTGCTTTAGCAATTTGTGCAATAATACATAGCATCGCTTATATTGTATTTCCCTTTCTAATTCATTTGTATTTAATTTTTCTCATCCACTTTTTTTCCTTTAAAAAACAACCCCAGTCCATTATTTGTCCTATCTTCGCTATCCGAATCCGTCTTTAAATTTAGTGGCTTCATGCGATTACTATTTCTTACCTTTTGGGGATTTCTTTCCAGCCCTTTAACAGCATTTATAGCTCCAAACATGATGAACTGTGATGGAAAAAAACGATATAATCAAAAGCATGAAAAACGTGTCCCTATAGTTCTATTGCGAAACAATAGTTGAAGCGCATTGTATTGTGATTCTTAGTAAAAAGGTTTTCCGCGTCATCTTGTAATTTCGAAAATGGAATTGAATTCTGCATCGTTTTCGGAAGTAGGAGCCCTTTTCATTGTCGGAAATATGGAACAAAGGAGTTCTGAGACACAGAGGTGTTGGAACAAAGGGGTGCCGAAACACTGATTTGTAGCAAAATAGAGTTTAATAGGGCGTAGAAAATTAACGAGAGGGTTTCGAAAGGAAAGTATTTCGAAACCATATTGGTGATTAATCATTGTGTGTTGAAATAATAAAGTCTGGAAACATGTATGCCAATACATTGGGTTGAAATACATGTATAGCGCCAGGAGTGTCAAGTCTGACAGATATGAGCGCTATACAAGAACCCTCTATTATTATTATTTTTATTATTATTATCATATATATACATAATTATATATATATATATATATATATATATATATATATAGGCCTTCATTAATAGAGGCGGGTCTGAAGTTAGGGATGTCAAAACGTAAAATAATTTATCTTTCTCATTTGTGCTATTGTGAGGCTATTGGGAGAGCCTCATGTAGGATACCATGATCATAAAGGCTTTCGAATCATCGTATCCTTCATTCCTTGCCCATTATTATGTGCGAACATTACAATGACGTATTACGTAATCGAAATGTGATACAATAAGGTATTGATATTTCCTCTGGGTTTATTTGTCGAAAGATTTTGCGATCTTGTTTCTCCTAAATTGTGCACCATTCAAATGCAGTTAGGCTCTGCGAATTTCATGATTTTAATCTCTTCTTAAAACTGTATCATTATGTTGTCAATGTATATGGAGTCTTGAGCAGGAATTTTCGTGACAGATCTTGAGTCTCTTATTGATAGTAAGGTGACGTACTTACCGCTAGACCAACCCACATAGGGGTTCCCATTGCACCATGATGATAAGAACCCGGATGTAGAAATGATGCAATAGCACCAAGCATGTTAAGTATGATGCCATAGGAGATGAGTATCACACCCAGGATTGTGACGTATGTATGACGTAACCCTACCATCCTGTATAATAAAGGCAAAAACGAATCGATCGTAGTTCAGGAGTTCATTTTTATATAATGCCCTGAATGATCAAGATGAATATTGATAATGAAAGAAATCATAATTATAATAATAATTATAATAATAACAGTAATAATAATGATAATGATAATTATATTGTTTACCCCAGGGAAGCCTCATCAGCTTCAATGCTTTCTTCCCAAGGACCCTGCAATTATTATTACCCAAGCGGTTCCCAGGTACCCATGTACACCTGAGTGGAGAGTAGCAAATATGGATTAATGTAATGTGAAAGAACGTCTGTGCATGGCGGGCTGAGATTCGAGCCCTTAACCCTTAGATTGAGTGTCAAGTACATGAGCCGCTATACAACAACACCTCCACAAATACATACCTCTTTCAGTTTAATCCAATGACGGATTGAGTGTCAAGTACATGAGCCGCTATACAACAACACCTCCACAAATACATACCTCTTTCAGTTTAATCCAATGACGGATTGAGTGTCAAGTTCATGAGCCGCTATACAACAACACCCCACAAATACATACCTCTTTCAGTTTAATCCAATGACGGATTGAGTGTCAAGTACATGAGCCGCTATACAACAACACCTCCACAAATACATACCTCTTTCAGTTTAATCCAATGACGGATTGAGTGTCAAGTACATGAGCCGCTATACAACAACACCTCCACAAATACATACCTCTTTCAGTTTAATCCAATGACGGATTGAGTGTCAAGTACATGAGCCGCTATACAACAACACCTCCACAAATACATGTACATACCTCTTTCAGTTTAATCCAATGACGGATTGAGTGTCAAGTACATGAGCCGCTATACAACAACACCTCCACAAATACATACCTCTTTCAGTTTAATCCAATGACGGATTGAGTGTCAAGTACATGAGCCGCTATACAACAACACCTCCACAAATACATACCTCTTTCAGTTTAATCCAATGACGGATTGAGTGTCAAGTACATGAGCCGCTATACAACAACACCTCCTCAAATACATACCTCTTTCAGTTTAATCCAATGACGGATTGAGTGTCAAGTACATGAGCCGCTATACAACAACACCTCCACAAATACATACCTCTTTCAGTTTAATCCAATGACGGATTGAGTGTCAAGTACATGAGCCGCTATACAACAACACCTCCACAAATACATACCTCTTTCAGTTTAATCCAATGACGGATTGAGTGTCAAGTTCATGAGCCGCTATACAACAACACCCCCACAAATACATACCTCTTTCAGTTTAATCCAATGACGGATTGAGTGTCAAGTTCATGAGCCGCTATACAACAACACCTCCTCAAATACATACCTCTTTCAGTTTAATCCAATGACGGATTGAGTGTCAAGTTCATGAGCCGCTATACAACAACACCTCCTCAAATACATACCTCTTTCAGTTTAATCCAATGACGGATTGAGTGTCAAGTACATGAGCCGCTATACAACAACACCTCCACAAATACATACCTCTTTCAGTTTAATCCAATGACGGATTGAGTGTCAAGTACATGAGCCGCTATACAACAACACCTCCACAAATACATACCTCTTTCAGTTTAATCCAATGACGGATTGAGTGTCAAGTACATGAGCCGCTATACAACAACACCTCCTCAAATACATACCTCTTTCAGTTTAATCCAATGACGGATTGAGTGTCAAGTACATGAGCCGCTATACAACAACACCTCCACAAATACATACCTCTTTCAGTTTAATCCAATGACGGATTGAGTGTCAAGTACATGAGCCGCTATACAACAACACCCCACAAATACATACCTCTTTCAGTTTAATCCAATGACGGATTGAGTGTCAAGTTCATGAGCCGCTATACAACAACACCCCCACAAATACATACCTCTTTCAGTTTAATCCAATGACGGATTGAGTGTCAAGTTCATGAGCCGCTATACAACAACACCTCCTCAAATACATACCTCTTTCAGTTTAATCCAATGACGGATTGAGTGTCAAGTACATGAGCCGCTATACAACAACACCTCCACAAATACATACCTCTTTCAGTTTAATCCAATGACGGATTGAGTGTCAAGTACATGAGCCGCTATACAACAACACCCCACAAATACATACCTCTTTCAGTTTAATCCAATGACGGATTGAGTGTCAAGTTCATGAGCCGCTATACAACAACACCCCCACAAATACATACCTCTTTCAGTTTAATCCAATGACGGATTGAGTGTCAAGTTCATGAGCCGCTATACAACAACACCTCCTCAAATACATACCTCTTTCAGTTTAATCCAATGACGGATTGAGTGTCAAGTACATGAGCCGCTATACAACAACACCTCCACAAATACATACCTCTTTCAGTTTAATCCAATGACGGATTGAGTGTCAAGTACATGAGCCGCTATACAACAACACCTCCACAAATACATACCTCTTTCAGTTTAATCCAATGACGGATTGAGTGTCAAGTACATGAGCCGCTATACAACAACACCTCCTCAAATACATACCTCTTTCAGTTTAATCCAATGACGGATTGAGTGTCAAGTTCATGAGCCGCTATACAACAACACCCCCACAAATACATACCTCTTTCAGTTTAATCCAATGACGGATTGAGTGTCAAGTTCATGAGCCGCTATACAACAACACCTCCACAAATACATACCTCTTTCAGTTTAATCCAATGACGGATTGAGTGTCAAGTTCATGAGCCGCTATACAACAACACCTCCACAAATACATACCTCTTTCAGTTTAATCCAATGACGGATTGAGTGTCAAGTTCATGAGCCGCTATACAACAACACCTCCTCAAATACATACCTCTTTCAGTTTAATCCAATGACGGATTGAGTGTCAAGTTCATGAGCCGCTATACAACAACACCTCCTCAAATACATACCTCTTTCAGTTTAATCCAATGACGGATTGAGTGTCAAGTACATGAGCCGCTATACAACAACACCTCCACAAATACATACCTCTTTCAGTTTAATCCAATGACGGATTGAGTGTCAAGTACATGAGCCGCTATACAACAACACCTCCACAAATACATACCTCTTTCAGTTTAATCCAATGACGGATTGAGTGTCAAGTACATGAGCCGCTATACAACAACACCTCCACAAATACATACCTCTTTCAGTTTAATCCAATGACGGATTGAGTGTCAAGTTCATGAGCCGCTATACAACAACACCTCCACAAATACATACCTCTTTCAGTTTAATCCAATGACGGATTGAGTGTCAAGTACATGAGCCGCTATACAACAACACCTCCACAAATACATACCTCTTTCAGTTTAATCCAATGACGGATTGAGTGTCAAGTACATGAGCCGCTATACAACAACACCTCCACAAATACATACCTCTTTCAGTTTAATCCAATGACGGATTGAGTGTCAAGTTCATGAGCCGCTATACAACAACACCTCCACAAATACATACCTCTTTCAGTTTAATCCAATGACGGATTGAGTGTCAAGTTCATGAGCCGCTATACAACAACACCTCCTCAAATACATACCTCTTTCAGTTTAATCCAATGACGGATTGAGTGTCAAGTTCATGAGCCGCTATACAACAACACCTCCTCAAATACATACCTCTTTCAGTTTAATCCAATGACGGATTGAGTGTCAAGTACATGAGCCGCTATACAACAACACCTCCACAAATACATACCTCTTTCAGTTTAATCCAATGACGGATTGAGTGTCAAGTACATGAGCCGCTATACAACAACACCTCCACAAATACATACCTCTTTCAGTTTAATCCAATGACGGATTGAGTGTCAAGTTCATGAGCCGCTATACAACAACACCTCCACAAATACATACCTCTTTCAGTTTAATCCAATGACGGATTGAGTGTCAAGTACATGAGCCGCTATACAACAACACCTCCACAAATACATACCTCTTTCAGTTTAATCCAATGACGGATTGAGTGTCAAGTTCATGAGCCGCTATACAACAACACCTCCACAAATACATACCTCTTTCAGTTTAATCCAATGACGGATTGAGTGTCAAGTACATGAGCCGCTATACAACAACACCTCCACAAATACATACCTCTTTCAGTTTAATCCAATGACGGATTGAGTGTCAAGTACATGAGCCGCTATACAACAACACCTCCACAAATACATACCTCTTTCAGTTTAATCCAATGACGGATTGAGTGTCAAGTTCATGAGCCGCTATACAACAACACCTCCACAAATACATACCTCTTTCAGTTTAATCCAATGACGGATTGAGTGTCAAGTTCATGAGCCGCTATACAACAACACCTCCTCAAATACATACCTCTTTCAGTTTAATCCAATGACGGATTGAGTGTCAAGTTCATGAGCCGCTATACAACAACACCTCCTCAAATACATACCTCTTTCAGTTTAATCCAATGACGGATTGAGTGTCAAGTACATGAGCCGCTATACAACAACACCTCCACAAATACATACCTCTTTCAGTTTAATCCAATGACGGATTGAGTGTCAAGTACATGAGCCGCTATACAACAACACCTCCACAAATACATACCTCTTTCAGTTTAATCCAATGACGGATTGAGTGTCAAGTTCATGAGCCGCTATACAACAACACCTCCTCAAATACATACCTCTTTCAGTTTAATCCAATGACGGATTGAGTGTCAAGTTCATGAGCCGCTATACAACAACACCTCCTCAAATACATACCTCTTTCAGTTTAATCCAATGACGGATTGAGTGTCAAGTACATGAGCCGCTATACAACAACACCTCCACAAATACATACCTCTTTCAGTTTAATCCAATGACGGATTGAGTGTCAAGTACATGAGCCGCTATACAACAACACCTCCACAAATACATACCTCTTTCAGTTTAATCCAATGACGGATTGAGTGTCAAGTTCATGAGCCGCTATACAACAACACCTCCTCAAATACATACCTCTTTCAGTTTAATCCAATG